GGGGGGGGGGGGGGGGGGGGCTGCCGCTTCTCCTAAAAGCCTGGCATCTCTTTGTGGTCTCCCATCCAAGGCCAAACGAAGCCCAGCCCTGCTTGCTGGAAAGTCTCCCTCCTGAAAATGTTGCCTAGGTAAAAGGGGGAGTTTAATTTTGGGTTGGACTCGGCTGCCGGTGATTTCGTCCTGTAATATCCTCGGGGTCTCCCGTTCAGATATGAATCAGCCCCCTTGGTTAATGCAGATGCGTTCCTTTTTTGGGGGGGGGGGCAAATTGAATTGCATTTTAAAGCACCGGGCTGGGTTAAAGGTGAAAGAACTTTATTTCAGCAAGTTGGGAGTCTGGATTGAGAAGAGAAACGGTTGAGAAACAAACAGGTTGGGGGGAAATGACCTTTTGACTCACTCGGTATTGGAATAACAGAGTTCGCCGTGATATAAACAGTTTTTCCCCCTTCGATACGTTTCTAAAGCGGGTTCATCTGTGCAGCGTTGGCTAGCCTGCAAGGAGATGCAACATGTAGCTTTAAAAAATAAAAATAAAGGAACGAAACGTAGTATCCAGAACGAATGTGGTGAAATGGTTGCTAATGCCGGTATCCCACTCCTCTTAGAATTAAATCTGAATTTTAGTGGAAGGTGAAAAGAGCAGCTGATTAAAACCATCGGAGGGGCCCTCGAACTGCGCTCGGACCCTGGCGACTCCACGGGGGCAGCCACGGAGTCTCCTGGCAGTGGTTCAGATGGGGTTGCTTTACTGGTGGTCTCCCATCCAAGGACTAGCCATGGGGATTGGAAAGCTCCTTCTCCGACCCCCCCCGGCCCTGTGACCCAGTGGGGAGCATTTTGTGGCCGGGACTGGCCTCGGGCGGGCGCAGGCATCGCCGAGACATGCTTGCTCCGGGTTTGTAAAGAGCCCGCCGAGGGGGCAGGTTTGCTCTGGCATCGGTTTGGTTGGCAAGGATGTGGATCGCTGGTGGGGGGGTGTTCCCGACTCTCCTCCCATCCCTTTGAGGTATAACTGCTGCCCTTGGGGTGAATTTTGGGTACAGTCAGCTAGCTTCAACCTTCAGGGGCTGGCCTTGATTTTTCGCGCTTCGCTCAGCACAGCCCTAACTCTGAATGGGTGACGGGCCTCAGGGCACGTGCCAGCTGTACGTGCCCGCCAAGGTGGGGTGAGGAGCCCTGGACCTGGGTGCACGAGCCTTCCATCCTTCGCCCTCCGGCCGTCGCCCACGTTGACTGTGGCTTGTTTTGATTCTGCAGGATGTTCCAGACGTTGTCCGACTACTTCTGGTGGGACCGGCTTTGGTTGCCCGCCAACCTGACCTGGGATGACCTCCAGGGCCACGATGACCAAGTGTACAGCAAAGCCTCTCACCTCTACTTAACCATCCCGCTGGGCTTTGTGTTCCTGGTCATCAGGCACGTCTTCGAAATGTGAGTACCCCTGAACCGCAAAGAGGAGAAATGCCCAGTTGAGTTTCTCTCCAGCTTTCCGGGCGAGCCTCGCCCCCTCGACCCCTGCCAACCTGGGGGAGAAAAAAAAAGTCAAGGGTGGTAGGGTTGGGCCGGGGCTCTCTGCAAAGCAAGAATCTCATTTTCTGGGAAGGAGGGAGACCCGTCTCTTCCTTATGCCCCCCAGCCAGGGCTGTTGGTGCTTTGCGGGGGGATCCAAAGGGCATCGATGCCACCCAAAAATATTCTGTGGGTTCGCAGCGTTAGCGAGCGCGAGAGAGATGTTTCCAGCCTCCTGCAGGGCTCTTCCAAGAGCAGCAAAAAGGGGCAAAGAGAGTGTGAACCGCGTCTCCGATGGGGGAGAGCCCCCATGAAAAAATTCTGTTTCTGCATGAGAGCTGATTGGAATAAAAGGCGTTGGACCATCTGCAGCGTTTCTCGACCTCCTCCGCTTTAAGATGGGTGGACTTCAACTCCCAGAATTCCCCAGCCAGTGGGGAATTCTGGGAGTTGAAGTCCACCCATCTTAAAGCGGAGGAGGTCGAGAAACCCTGGTTTGGACCCTGGTGCAAGAGAGCCAAAAATGACATTACACCAAATCGTCTCCTCTGTTGCTTTCCTGAGCCAAAAATTTAATCTACTCCAGAGCGACGCTCGGGAGCCTTGGAAGGGTTGTGGTTTTTACAGAGAAAGGAGAAAAGACGTTTCTCAGCGACTCTGTCAAACGTGACTAGAAAAAAGCAGCTTTTCTTCACTACCCTCATCAGACACCCGGGAAGTTTCTCCTAAATCAAGCTTAAGCTTGCTTTTCCACTATTTCCACCCACCATTAAATTGTGTTTTCACAAGGGGATTTGCTGACTTGAATGTATACAATCCGACCTCCCACGCTTCTAAAAACGCCTGGGTTTTTTTTTGTCTAAATGGAGCCTGCCTGGTTCAGCTTGCTGTGCAAACTCAGAAAACCGGGTTTGATTTGGGGACCAGAATGTGAAGATGTCCTGTGAATGGGCTGTTGTATAGTTTGTAGCCCTTGCCAAGATGGTTTGGCTCAGTCACCTGGTATGACGTCAGGGTCCAGCTTATGGGGTTTTGCTCAGATACAGCATGACAACCTTCTGTTCTCTGGGGGATGCAGCTTGGCTCACTTCCTAGAGCTGTCTCATGGAGAGTAACATCTCCTGGAACACCCTTGTATTAACCCTGAATTCTTGAGACAGCATTTAAATGACCGGAGTATTTTGTAGATGTTGTCAAAGTATTTTTCTCCCCCACAATAATCTTGCAGAGCATTCCTCCTATTGCAAAGACTGGGGAGGAAGCGGGGGGGAATTTCCATTGCCAGAGCAAAATTTTAAGAGCGAGACAAATTCCTGTTTCTAAGGGAAGGAGGAAATCCAGGCCCCAAGCAGGTGCCAGGCCCTTCTCAGAACATTTTGCAGTTCCTGATATTCAAATGGTTTGCTCGGGGCATAATACAGAGATTGACTAAGGATCGGATCGGCTGAGAAGCAGGAGAATGAGACTGTCAAGAAGCCAGCCATGAGTTGAGAGTGCAGATGGAATTTAAGGCCCCCAAAGTTGCGGGCTTTTTTTAATTTGAAGGGAGGGGAAAGAAAAGCACTTCTGTGATGGGGCGAAAATGATACAGCCGCATTCCAGGAAACAAACAGCCAGCTATTTGCAAAGTGTTTGGGCCATAATCTCTAGCACGACCGAGGGCCAAAATAAATAATCAAGGCGCTGAGGCTTGAAAAGGTGTTTCAAAAAGCCTTCCTCGCGCCACTGAGAGGCACTCCCAGAAGCGCAGCTCAAAACCCAGAGGCGTTGGCCACTTGTTAGCTCGGCAGAAGCCAAGCAGACCTCCCCAGATCATTGGGTCCCGTGACCCCAAGCGAATGCAGCACTTCTCCACCTGGCTCGGTCCACCGGGGTGGGGAGGGTCAGCCCCATGGATTCCGGCCCTAGAGGGCACCAAGCGGGGCCTTGATTTGCTCTGCAAAGAGGCTGCCGGTAAAGATCAGAGCTGTTGGCAGCACGCCTTGCAAAGGCCGGGGGCTTCTGCCTGGGAGGACCCCCGAAATTATAACGGCAAAGCGTGCCTTTCCCCCTCCGCGGTATTTCTCCCCCCAATTGGATTTCGGCAGAGGGGGATGCAGGAGGGCGGGAGGGAGAATGGGGCTGTGGGGAGCAGGGCCCAAATCCCAAAAGGGCATCCACCAGTGCTGGTGGCGAGAAGCGTGCCAACGCTCGGGGCAGCCAGGCCTCTGTGCCAGCTGCGGGAGGCATGTTGCAACCCTGGCGAGGACGTGCCCTGCATGCTGTGGGGGTAAAGCGAACGGCTGGCGTTTGCCCTCTGTGGGCGGATCCTTTGCCAGGGTGAGAAGCAAGGAAGGCGGGCATCGGGGCAGGCCCAGCTGCAGTGCCACAAGGGCGGCTTTGTGCCCTGCCCTGCCCTGCCGGGGTTACACCAGCAGGCGCGAGAAAGGGGTTGGCGTGGCAAAGTTCCAGGATGCAAAAGTTCCTCATCCCCAGAAGCATTTTTCTCTGAGGATGGAGAGACAGACCCAGCTTTGTTGCAAAGGTGGGCAATGGGAGCAGGCAGGGCAAGGCAGGAATGGAGGGGGAAGACTGTGAAAGTGCCCTGGGCTTTGCGTCAAACTGGCATTCTCGGCTCCCCAAAGCTGCACACGCAGACACACCCTCTGGAATTGGGGAACAAGCCAGTCGCAACACCTTTGCCCAGAGCAAGGTGTCACCAAAAAGCCTGGGAACCTTTGGGACATCGGGGCCTCGAGCCAGGCCCCCTAGGCCTTTCCTGAGACCACAGCTCCCATCATCCCTTGCCAATTGGTCTGCAGGCTGAGGCTAATGAGCGTTGGACCCAGAACCTCTGGAGCACTGCAGCTTTGGGGGGGATTGTGGACCCCCCATTTCAGGAAAGCAAATCTTTCAAGGATTGCCCGCTTTTTAAAAACTCACCGGGCACCTCGCTACGTTGAACGAGGGGCTCAGTCTACCGAGGGCTGTGAAATCTCAGAGGAAGCAAAAACACCCCATCAGTGGTATATTATTCATGGGGAGGCAAATATACTCCAGCTTGGCTCCGGAAAGGCCTCCTGCAGGGGCGCAAACCTGGTGTTTGCGCCCTTTCTGGACGGCACGTGTTTTGTTTCGTGGGAGGGTTGAGTGCCAATAATCCAGCTGTGTCATTCCGAATGGGGCAACTTGGAATAGCCTCCTCCAGCTGTGGAGATGGGGCTGTGCAATGCCTCCGTGCCAAGATCTTTGCGGATCGTGGGTGGGGGAGAAGGTACAGATTGTGAAGGAGCCGGCAAAAGGAGCCCGGGGCTCCCAACTTCGTAATTTGGGGGGGGGCTTTTAAAAACTCCTGCCCGTTTTTTGGCGAAGCATTTTGCTTAAGGAGACCGAAAGGAACTTCATGCAAATGACGCATTCGATTCTGGGTTGCCCTCGGTTTGTTCCTCTTCCTGTTTTAATGATGCCTTTATTCTCGCCAGCTGCTAAGGATCATTCGTTGTGCTTTTAATAAAGGGAGATCTTCACCGTGCAGGTTGAGACGTTTCATCTTTTCCGTGTCGGATTTTGTGCAAGCCTCCCCAAACAGGCGTCCTGCCAGAAACACACGCGGGTGCGATGCAGAGCTCGATATGCAAAACCAGTAACTCTGTGCTAACTTTTAGGAAAACAGATTACGGGATCCCTAAAAGAAATTAAATCCCGGGTCGGCTTTTTAGCGCCACCTAGCCGCAAAAGTGAGAGCCGTTCGCATTTCCAGGTCCTTTGAGGATTTTAGGAAAGGGTTTTGAAAATATTCCTAGCTGTTCTCAGTTTAGGAAACTCACTTACAGTTTCATTTAGGAAGCCTATTTACGCTTCCTATAATAATGTTTTCCCCAGACTGCAGTTGGAGAATCTTCTGCCTGTGTTGGCGGCACTTAAAACAAGCTGGGCTCAAAGAGAAATGAAAGTTTTAAAAAATGATGATGGAGGATTTGAAAGTGTGTATTACTAATACTAATACTGCAGTCTTGGACCTTCCTTCTGGCCTTCCTGCCTGCCTTCCTCTCTCCTTCCTTCCTTCCTTCCTTCCTTCCTTCCTTCCTTCCTTCCTTCCTTCC